TTGTTGTTGCAGAGATATCATGCTTGCACGGAGAATTTGGAGCGCATGTACACAGATCTTGAAGGAATACGAGTACGGGAAATGGAAGCTATTGCTGGGCCAAATGAATTTGCCGAATTTTATGCTCGTGTGAAAATCCTCAAAGATGCACATCGGCGGAATCCTGATGAGGTGACTTTTCCCACAAATGCTTTTCTCGATTTTTTATTTTATTGTTGTCATTTGAGACCTAAATTCAAGAATTATTCCGCTTGACTTTCAGATTATTTCATTTCACTATGCATCATAGTTGATCTAATTTTTCCCCTAAATTCAGCTTGCCGAACCTCTTTCTATGGAATTCCAAAAAATGCATGAGGAAATTGCTGATCCTGAGCGCGAAGAAACAGATATGGTGCCGTTCACAGATGAGGAGGGTTATGGCAGGTTAGCTATAATATTGATTTCCTCAACTGTTCTTGTCATATATTCTTTTCAGATTTTTGGACATGCATACGCTTCATGCATTGTACCTCAATCTGAAGGCTATCACGGTAAGTGAAATCGAGTATAAGTACACTCCCGGCATCTTCCACTCGCGAGCGGCTCATTAGCAATGAATCAATTGCTGAGAATGCTTCCTTGCTCACAAGCCGTTCGTAAGGGACGGTGCTCGGAAATCCCATCTTGTGAAACATAGTTGAATGGATTTGTATGATTTTCAATAAAGCTATGTTTTAGAAAATTGACTATATCACATACCTCGGACAGTTCGACAAATTTTCTGATATTCCAAAGAATACTACTAAGAAGACAGGAGCATACAAGGAGTACTTGCATGCGTTGAAGGTATGTAATCGCTTTGTTAGTGTATCAATTCGATGAAACAAAACACAGAATCACTCATTTTTTTTATTCTTTATGCAGAACATCTGCATAGTTTCAACCAAAGACTATGTATTTCCTCTATCTTTATTAATTTTTTGACTCCAACTAGCCCATAGTTCGTGATTTTAGTCGTGGATAATGGCAATTTATCCCATATTCAGGACTATCTCGTGTACTTCATGGAGCGAACGCGACCTCTTCATGACTTCAAGGAGGATTTTAGAAAGGTATAGTTTACGTTGTCTTCCTTTAGGAAGTGCTATGCTTAATAAT